GGTACCACCCAGTCACCCCAATGCTCTCCCCAAGGGAAAAGTAGTTGAATAGCATTGGCTCATTACCCAGGTCTTGAAAAACAAGGTCCCAACGTTACTGCCAGCTTGACAGTACCACTGTACAGCCCCATGACTGGGACAATCCATCCTTTTAACCTTTATGGATGTTGGAGGCTTGTGTCCTATTTGGACACTGCAAACCGATACCGCAAGAAAGGAAAGCACAGCCCACCACCCTCCCTGCCCAGCTGCCCTGTTACATCTCCCAGACTACAGCTCCCTGGGGAAGTGCGTGCTTTTAATTTGCTCCTGGCAGGAGGAACCCGAATCAGGGGGCTGGAGGATTGGCAGGGCTGGTTTTGCATTCTCGGTGAGTCATGGAGCAGTGCCTCCATCAGGTGCAATGTAAATCCAGACCAGTGCCTGTTCCTTTTCATTAAGAGCCTTGAGCTCACTGCAGAAGAGATGAAAAGGGCTGGTCATTATCCATTACATGTGGCCCATTCACTTGCTGATGGGCTGGTTTTCATCTCCCAGCCCTGCCTGTAGGTAAGCATCCTCCAATACCCTAATCTGCTTTTTTTATCCCCCACCATTTATTTTCCTGGGGGCCTTGTCAATGGTGGCTCCATTCCTTCCCCAGGCCTTGCAGCACTGCAGATTCAGAAGCATTAACAGGTTCCAGCTCATGCTAACGAATTCCAGAAAGGCCAAGCATTTTATACAGAGCCAACACAGGAAGGATTTGAGAAAAGCACGATGTAGTCAGAGAGCAGAGGAGATGCAGAGCACGGCCACATCCTGGAAACACGCAAAGGTGAATGGGAATGGGAGGCAGGGAGCATTTGGAAGCCCATTAAATGAGGGCTTATCATCAGATTTATGGAAATCGCTTTAAATGCCTTCATTTATTAAAAGTATTAAGCTGCATTACTGCTTGCCTTTGGTCTCCTAATTTGGTTGCTAATGTCTAAGACAACTGTTGAAATTAATTTGAAATTAATGTTCCTATATAATTACTTAATGAATCTCACATTCACTGCCCTTAGCTCTCAGCTGACAAAGGATCTCACCCACCACATGCAAGAGGTTGGAATACTGACTGTGATTTTAAAATGGTTGCTAAATTATAGTTTGCAAATATTTTACATTTATATCACACACTTCATCTTGAAGGATCTCAGTGTGTTTGAAATGTTACATAACATTCATTCTTTAGTAAAATTCCATCACAAAAACTTTCTGGGCATCAATCTTCTTACATCTCTGCATGCCTTGGAATTAAATCAAATTTAGCTGCATTATTATGCAAACACAAAATCATACCTGCATTAAAAAATTATTATTAGGGCTGTAAAGTCAGACACTTAAAACATAGGAAATGTTGGAACTCTGTGCAATGTAAATGTCTTTTTCCATGCATATGTATTCTTGTAGTCTTTAATTTTATGATCATATATTATCCTATACTTACCCCCTCTCCCAGGGGACTTATTAGTCCTTGTTAGTGTTCAAAAAAAACAGGATGAGAAAAAACAAGGCTCAAGAAAAAGCTAGCAGGGGAACATAGCGACTTGTGGAGTCCTCGCCTCATTTCTCACAAAAGGTTGTAACGCGTGTTCCTCCTTTTCTAGGTGGCTGACTTGATACCCTATAAATCCTGATCAGCAGAAATGCTGAATGTGCACAGCAGTAACTGAAGCTAAAGAAACATTTGAACATGCAGAGCATTTTACATACTACCAAATCCAGTGAAACAGGAGGTCCTGGGGTCTCACACCATGCACTTAAAATTAGCGTTCACTGCAAAGAGGGGAAAACACTTCTCTGTCTCCCAGGGACGGTGGAAAATGTATTGGAGCGTTTGCAAAGCAAGCTGTGACGCAGATCCAGACTTGCTTGTTCTATACAGCACGGTGTGGACACGGTGCAACGAGCAGGGAACAGGACAACCTGTGACCCAGGAGCAGAAAGGATCCAGAGAAGCTGTTGGTGCCGCTGTGCAAACTCGCAGAGGCAGGGACCCACAGGAAAACAGCATGGGCTTTTCTGGGACAAAAGAGCTGAACTGAAGGCTTTCCAGGAAGCCTGAATTCTGATGCTCACCATTTTGTGTGCTTATCTGTGACAGCAGTTCTTCTTACGTGTGTGTAGTTTCTTAAGGATCAATGTAATTGAGCCAAACTCATTAGCAACCGTGGAGTTTCTGAGCTTTCCCTCTACTTGGCTGCTTTGCCTTGGGACATCCTCAGCATTTAGGTCAGAGCAAGTCAGCCTGCCCCACACTGCAAAACATCACCTCAATCTTCACATAGCAGAGAGCTGTAGATGAATGCCACATATCCCAGCACGGATCATTCTACTAATGACAGTGTCCAGGAGTTTCACAGCTCAGCTGAAGGCGTGGCTGGTGAGGAAATCAGGTCCCCAAACACAGGGTGATACCTACCTCTTCATGGCCTGAATCTCCTTCCCACAACATGGAATGGAGACTACCCAGCAGCCCACAACCAGAGGATAACGCACTCCCCATCCCCACCACACACATACACACGTTGTTCTACTTTCTGAACTAGAAAACCCCAACCTCTCCTGTGCTCAGATCTTTGCCAAATCTCCCTCTCTTGCCAGGTTGCAGATCCTTTTTCCCAAATCCGTCCCCTCCCTCACACCCTCAAAGCATTCCCATCTCCCACACTTCGTGCATTGCTCAGCTAACAGGGATCACTGGAACACCTCCATGAAAGACCTCCAAAGAAAACCTGTCCTAGCACATCCAACCTAAAAAACTCAACTATCCAAGCACATGGGTCAATTACTTCCTTTTAAAGTTGTAAACAGGTAAATTAGGGTGAAATGCTCTGGTGACATTCAGGACAGCCAATAATAAAACAGCCAATCTGAAGTAGAAAAGTTTCCAAGTCATTTTAATATTTGAAAGCTTAAAATAAGAGGAAACGTATGACCAGGCAATAAACCCAAGGGCAAAAAAATGAAGAATAGAGTGGTAATTATACAGGCCATCAGCTTCCATGAAGTGCTTGACTTCACATTAAGCTACATTCTCATACCACTTTGCACGTCACTTCTTGTTTACCTCTTTGCAGCAAATTCTCTTATGCAGTCAGCATAAGATGACCATAGATGGTCCATACCATGAAACGGACCTTCAAAGCTGGGAGTTTCTGGTCACATGCAGCTAAAGGTTATTGCTGCACGAGTGCAGAGCCATCAAACTACCTCAGTCTAGGCTTTCCTTCCAATCCTGCTTTTGTGAAAAAAAGCAGGAAAAGATAGTAACACAAGACAACCATGGCTCAGCAAACACTAAGATTTCTTGAGGCAAAGATGGCTCAAGCAGCTTCCTCCTGCTGCAGTTGATGGGACAGGGCTGCTTTGGTCAGGTTTCCAGAATTCTGTAAAGCAAAGCAGCTGTCTCCATCCAAAGATTGCACCAGATATCTTCATAATTCTTATCTTCTTTTGGTCAGTCTTATTACTCAGCTTCCCAATACTGATGTGTTAACACCACCAGCAATCCCAGACCCATACTGAACGTTCTTTTTACTTAAACTGCCAACAGTAACTTGAGGATGCTTACACTGCGATGTGTCACTCAACATACAGACTTTTCATTTGTTACTTGTCAAAATATCAACTCTAGGGCTTCATATTCTACTGAATTGGGCTGCATGAGCCACACATTTCAATTTGAACAAGTCAGCACAGGGCAAGTCTACCTGAAAGAGCCTCCCTTTCTTTTCCCAAGCAGTACAGGACTGGACAAACTGAAGGCATCCACCACCAGCTGGAACATTCAGATGGCAATGGAAGGTCTCAGTCTTTACAAGGCTATCTTTACAAAGTGCTAAGGGTCACAGCAAATCTTGCTTCCACCATAAATATAGCACCACCTAAATAATTTGGGGAAAGGGAAGCTTTTCCTAGCATTTTGTATCAATAAATACAATTATAATGTAAGATACTCAGTTATGTAGTTAACAAGGTTAAAGCATTTAATACCATTACCGCAAGTTCATCAACTAACACCTTTATTCTGAAAGCTTACTTTAAAAAACAATTATGCCTCTGCTTCTCTACAGCGAATTGCTCAAAAAGCAAGCAGCCAATTCAAATTCTATCAGTACATAACTAGATTTACCCCTTCACTGATAAAAGAAATTATTTTGCAATCATGGCCTAGGCTTCCAGGATCACCGTATCTCCGTCATTGCATAGAACCAGCTTGAACAGCTCCTTTGGGGAGGATACGTGGAATTGGTAATAGGTTTTGTAATTTCCACCTTCTGTTTCCTAGTTCAGAAAGTAATCAAATCCAGTCACTACTGCTGTATCTATCTGGCAACTATTTGTGGGCCTTCATGAAATGAGTTGGAAGTTTGATTTCCGTTCTCAGCAGGCATGTTTGTGTGATACAGATGAACTGCTGCAACAGCAAAATTGGAAGCAATTTCAGCAGATTCCAAGGTGTAAATAAGCACCAGAACAGAACTTCTCTCACTGCCAGAGAGGTCTCTTCTTTAACAGGCTTGAGATATGACAGGACAAGATTGGAGTTTGGATTTCTGCTGTTGTAAAATGTACTTTAAAGTGCATCTTATCTTCCGAGGCTATCCAACTGGCACCCACATGAAATTACTAGCAAAAATAAAACAAGTCATTATGAAATAAAATCTTGAAGCAAAATAAAATTTATCACTCCCCAAAACTCCTTTCTACCTCTGCTGCATTTTAACTGGAATACATGAGTATTTTAGTTCTTTTTGACATCTCCACGTCCCCTGTGACAGTAACGTTCACTAGTTTTCATTCCGGTAATCCTTATTTGGTTCCCCAGGACAGGAGCTGGTACAACAGCATCAGCCACTGAAGGACCATCAGTAGCATTCAAGGCAAGTCCATGAGTTCTGTCACACAAGGCAGTGCAGGACCAAAATACAAGTTACCAGGTTTAGTAGAGGCTGAACATATGACTAGGCTAAGATTAAAAAAAACTTTATTTTTTTATACAAAACAATAATAAATCCAAGCAGATAATGAACTAAGTGTGTCTTCTCATTTTCAACCTTTTCTTCTTTTCTCAATATAATCTATCCACAGTTCAATGTTAAACTCCATATTCAGCAAAAAACTACGAGGTTTCCATCTTGTATCCATGTTTTTCTAATTCAGCTCTGTATAGAAAGAGAGAGGTATGTTAAAACACACAAATAAAATATTGTCAGACATTTGCATTTAAAAAAAAATATACAGCACAACATGCAATCATTTTAGAAATAATATGAACATGTCACACTTCTTTTTGGTTATAACCAATAACCTTAACCTCACTTACTCTATAGTTATTCAACTTCACTTTAACATCTTGGATCACTAGAAGTGACCTCTAAATGAAAAGTTAAAATACTTGTTTTAATCATAGTTGCTTTCCTCTGAACCACCATTGCTGGAGTACAACCATATGATGCAAAGCAGCACCTGCGAGCTTGCAATACCTCCAGACACATTAGAAAAAAAACCCAAAGTATTGTCTTATACCAGTCATTCTCAAGATTTCCTTAAACCAAATGAGCTCACCAATCTGAGTGATTTAAATGCATGTACTGTCAAAGCAATATTAATTTTTTGCTTTGTTTGTTTTAAATAAAACTACACTATTTTTAAATCTTGGTGCAATACACTTAGCAGTGAACAATTCTGAGGGAAAAGGACTGCTTTGTTGCCCATAGCTGTAACCAGCGCAGCAAGTCAGCAACCACGAATGTTACTGCTCGTACCTTGTCCTCATCTGCTTCTCACCTGCCTCCAAATACACCAGCCAGAACTACATCGTATTTTATCTCCTAGTCTTAGCATACATGTATCCAGATACAGTAGTCCAAATCTCAAAAAAATCTTAAGGTTTACATACTTAGCAGTGGAATTTTGAAAGTGGAGACTGAAGCATTTTTTTCTAAAGATGAAATAAAAACGTGCTGCAACCAAGCAACATAGTAAACTAGCATTTTAACACTTGTATACAGTCACCAATATTACAGGCTACAGTTAAGGCAGTTACTGAATATTTGTCAAGATCAACTATTTTTATCAAGAATTACTCTATCCTGTGAAAGACTGTTTCACTACGTATCAACTTCTTTTCCAATATTACAGTTTAACTGCCTTTCAACCATAAGAAACAACCATATCAAAGACCGTATCTTTGTACTTTCTACCTAAAGGATCATTTTCACCAGAGCACAATAACAGAGATCAACCCAGGAACTGTTTAATCAGGCTGCATTACAGACAATTTGCTCCTCATGCAACATACTTCAGGATTAATTACAAAATGTGGCTTTGTATTGACGCTTGAAACAACTGAAATTATAATTATGCATCAGTAAAGGATTAACTGAATCTACAAGTGACAGAAGATTAAACAACTGGATTAGAACTATCCAAATTGCTATCACTTTTTTTTAAAAAGCACGTTAGGAACAATTACTTTGCTATTGTTGCTCATAAACAGCATGCTCATCACACAAGAAGGGAACCTTAACATTCATGTAGCTAACTAATCTCTTGAAAATTTGTCCATTTGGACAAAGAACAGCAATACTGTTTGAAGATACAGAAAAAATTTATAATAATACATCATGATACCATACACCATAGAAGAGAGAATCTTGGATTCTTTGCCGTTGATCTTTGTAGTACAATTCAGCTTTTTCACACACATATAGAAAAGTCCTTAGATAGGTATTTATTTGTGTTAAATTAAAAAAAAGTGTCAACTGTATCTCAATTCGCAAAGATATTTGTACTGTTTAAGTGGTGTAACACAGCAAAAGCGTGAACATGTCAATGAGATTAGGCATATTTCTGGGCTCACGGTACAATTATTAAAAAATAAAATGCTGATTGATACCTCACTGTGCTGTAATCCCTTAAATCCAGTTCTGAAAGGCCTTAGATAGAAAAGCACAAAGCAGAGTTTTCATTTATTTCCGTTTCAGATCTCATTTTTTAAAGTGAGCAGATTTCAGACTTGCAGATATGAACTCAACAATACCATTTTAAACATTTTACCCATATTCTAGAAAAGTAAGATAAAAATTACCTTAACTGATTGGAGAAATCATCTTCTACATTGTCATCATCCCAATTGTCTTCCCAGACGTGCGCATCTTCATCTTCATCTAAACCAGTCCAATCTAAAGACAGTGAAAAAGGTCTAAATATTCTATGTTGCACTGCTTTGGTACCACGTCTCATTGGCAAATTAGCTCAGCCTCTGCCTAAGGCAGGCTTCAGCTGGTAACAAATTTATCTCTAACAGAAAAATCTGAATCGCGCTTAAGTGTTTATGAGATCAAAAAGCACAGAAAGATTAAAAAAAACCCAACAACACAACAACAAAAAAGCCCAAAACCAAAACAAGCCACAATTTCTTGAATGATAACAAAATCTAACTTGGTAAAAAAAAAAAAGTTACCCACTTCACACCATGGCCTGGGACATTTTGCATACAAATGGACAAGCTGTAGCACCATTGTAAAAAGAAAGCAATATTGGATACCTGATTCTTAAAAGCTTAACAATAAGTGTACATTTCACATTTGCATTTAAATACTTTTTTTGCTGATGAAAAAAATGTATATCAAATGCTTTTGCCAAAACAGATACATACAGATCCTTAGTTCATTCAGATCAGATGCTGACAGTCTATTGATAAAGGCCAAAAAATCTGTATCTGTGATGCAGAAGCAAAGGCCAATTGAAAGAGGCACCTGCAAACAGCAGTTGCTACCTGTAAGCAGCTACTTCTGGGCTCCCAGGAGAGCAGAAGCTGTTTCCTAACAGAGGCAAGACACTAAATGTCCGTTTGCTAACTTAATTTCGATTTTTCTTGTAATCTGGCACATCACCCTTGACAAATTACTGATCACCCACTGAAAGCTTCGTTATTAAGAAAAATATGATCAAACTAGTTTGTTTAGGAAAATAACAAAATTGAAAAAATCAGGAAGGCTCAGAATCCCTGTGTAAACACGTCAGTTTACTTCACTGGGGAGCAGTTTCTCAGTTTTCTTTTCTTGATAGACACCAAGTTTTTTCTAACATTACCAAAATAAGAAGTACCCGATTTTGACACTTGTGACCTTGGATTTCTGAAAGTTTGTTAGTATATTTAAAGAGATAACACTATTTTTGTCCTTACAATTCAGTAAGACATCTGCTGCCCATCCAGACTAAGGCCCGAAGTAACATTAAACGCTGATGGAGGAATGGGGAAAAAAAAAAAACTGCACTAGTAGGCTAAAAAATGAAAAACTAATTAACTGTGAACAACTAACTTCATAAGAATGATGGCTGGTCCTCGCATTTTCTCCTCCATTTTCTAACACTGACAGGCAACAACAGCAATATTTGAGATTCACCAGGACAAGAAAATCCATTCGTAACTGATCAAAGGCACACACATGTAGAAGACATTACAATTACACTTCCCTACTCAAATAAATTATATAATGGGAAAAGATGAAGGAGCATAAAAATCCTACCGGTCCTAAGAATGGGGGCGGGGGGGAGAAAGGAACTGGGAAAAAAGGTAAAGAAAAAAATGCATTCTTTTAATTTAGTTGTTCAACAACTTAGCAACATTTAGTTGCTCAAAGAGAAAGATTTTTATTTTAGAGCTATCTGCAATAAGCTTTGCGTACTTATATGCAATAGATTTCTCTTTGTCAAAATAAAAATCTTTACCACTCATCATCTGGTTTTCAAAGATACAAAAATCAAAGCTCAAAACAGTTTAAAATGAACACAAAGTCAAACTTTTCTATCTACTAATGTAGAAGTAGCTCTGACAGATCTACAAATTTGGAAAAAAAAAAAAAGACCTAGTAACTGGTATCCAGCATAACAAATAGCTTCAGTCATGAAAGGTCAATTGGGGAGACTGAGAAAATGCTCCACATCACCCTGGATGAAGAAAAACGAAAAAGGCCCATGTCATCTTCCGAGAGGGAAAGAAGGGGGAGAGAGACAGGGAAAGCCTAAATTATGTTCTCATCGCTGTAGCTACAAAATTGTACAGTATCTGTATGTTGACACCGTACCCCAGAATTGCATACTAAAATTATTCTTCACAGCTACATTACATGCCTGTGACTAAAAGTAAAAAATTATATAGCATTATTCAGGATTGAAAGTATTAAGAACATTTGAGAACTTGCTACTATTATGTATTACTAATATACGCCAAAATTACAAAATCAATTATTACATAAATTTGTCAAAGCTGGACTTGTTAAAAAAATTAATATATTGATCACTGATTGACATATTTTGCACGTGGGAAAGGAGAGCAAAAAAACAAACAGCATTCAGAGTAGAGGATAAAAATAACCCTAAAATCCTATCACTTTACACATTACATTTTACATTCTGAGAAGCGCTGTAAAAAAAGTCTGTAAGTGACCAAATCATATACACTTGAATCTATCATGCTATACTTCAAATAAAGTATCCTATAAAAATAGGACACATCTGCTTTAATACATAACCTTGATTTGATAAATTGTTTGAAGAAAAATTCTAAATTGGAATAAAAGAAATTCCCAAAAAGCCAGTGCTTCTACCCCTTAACATAAGTTTGCATTATCTAATTACCCTTGGATAAAAACTGGGTAATAGAACACAGTTTTTATACTGCATAGAGTGGTGCTTTAGTTTGAAGAACAACAATTTGGTACAGGTTTGAGTATGTGTTTATCACGGTTCCTTCTTAAGCACTGAAGATAACATTCATAGTGGTCTGAACATTCTTTATAACGTATCTCACTTGATAATTTAAATGGGTCTCTTTAGAGGTTCTTTTTTTCCCAAGATAGATCAGCAAGAAGCCTGAGTGTGGTCACTCCTTAATAAATCTCTGTTCTACCCAGAAAGTTTGCACAGGACTTAGTTGTAGCAGTACAGCTAGATTCAAGTAGAATTAATTTCACTTTCTGTAACAGCAATTCAGTGCTTTGACCAATCAAAGGATCAGAAGCACGCATCAAAGACTTCATCCATCCCTACTGCCAATACTTAATCTACCTTAAATAAGATACATAATTTTTTCCTGTTAAAGAAACAGATATGAAAAACAAAGACTAGACTTCTCAGTTTAGTTCAGCTACCATCTCAACTACACCAATAACTTACATCAGTAAGTGCAAAAATGTTATTTTTACTGGTACTGAAGGATTCAGAACACCTAAGGCTTGTAAAGCCACAAAAAAAAAAATCACATATAATGAAGACATTACAGAAAAAACACCCTGACACTTCATCCATTACGTTTTACACCATTTCTCATTATCCACAGCTTGAGACAATTCCAAGAATTAAAGAGATGGGGTATGTTCCTTTTCTCTAATAGGTATCTTTCCAAGATTTCATCTGTAAAAGGACACTGAGCAGTTCTATTGAAGTCCAGATTTAATTTCATCAACTTATTTTGTACACAGCACGTTATTTCCTTTTCACGTTTTTTTTTCCCCTCTTACATTCAGTTTCCAGCCCTGAGCCCTCCTCTCCCCGGCAGTCCTCATCCCGTGAGCCAGGATGCAGCACGCTTCTCCCGCACTTGTTTCTAGCCCTCCCGCACCGTGACACTGCACTTCCAGCGCCATGTGCCCCGCACTACGACGCCAGCACAGCCGGGCGCAGCCAGCACGTCCTTACTTAACCCCGGCTCTGACGGGGATTTATCCCCCACACCTCCGAACGGGGCGGGGGCGCAGGAACCCGCGGGACACTGGAGAGCTGCTTCCGTACCGCGGAGACACATCACACCGCCGCGGAGAACCTAAAGGCCGCTCTGCGGGCAGCGGCCCGCTAACAATCCGCGCCCCGACCCCATTGCCGCTCCTGGTCCCCGAAGGCTGCGCGCTCATTCCGCGCCTCAGCCGACCGGCCCGGCCCAGGCCGCGGCCTACAGG